ATAGGACCTGCCCAGCTGGAATCTAACTCAGAACAAGTCTTAATGATTTAACCCACCAGGTACTGAGAACAGTCCTCACAGCTACCATACAGATGCTCTACTGATCCCTCTTAATCTAGCAGGGACAGATCACCCCGAACAGGTCCAGTGGCTGGCACTCAGAGGATGCAATAAGTGCAGCAAAATAGGCCTTTTTAATTTGCAAGTTAAGAGCAAACTTGGGACTATCAGAACTCTGGAAAATAACATGGCTTTTCTTCTAAATAATTCATTTAAACCACATAAGCTTCAATCTTATGCTTTAGTCCTGCAAAAAAAAAAAAAAAAAATCTATATTAAAATTTTATAGCAAGATCATTTTCTGAAATTTAATCAAAGCCAGTGATTTCTGAAGTAGATTTAATCAGTTTGCAGCCTTAATATTAATAGAATTAAAATAAATATTTTTCTAATTAATAGTGTATTAATTATGCTATAGAAATAAATAAGAAAGTATATATTCTCCAACATGATATAGGTTATGAATACCCCTCCTTACTGCAGGAAACACAGACACTCCCATTTAGCATGATGCCATGGCTGTGAGATGTGGGTGAAGATTATATGGCAGATGAAGACTATATGGTAGCAAAATGATATGGAAAGTTCTAACTAATTGCTGCAATATAGAGTGATTTTCCAGATTTTTGCCACCCAGATATGGTATCCATAATTATTGTAATGCATAATACAAGTACAGCATTTATAGTTATTATTATTGCACTTCTGTAGTAACTAATTTCCACTGAGAAAATAAAGTCATCTATTTTTCTTATCTAATAATTTACAGCAAATATTTAAAAACATTACAAATAATAAAACTTGCTTTTAAATTCATACTTTCTATAAAGACCATGAACCTGTGATAAGCACAATTTAATTCACTCACAATAAAAGGACAGTGCTGAAATTACCCCATTTATCTCTGCTTCTTCTAACTTTTAAAGTTTAAGATTTAACAATAATGCTTTAATAATATTTAATATTTTAATATTAATATTTAATAATTATTTAATTAATATTAAATAATAATTTTTAATATATTTTTAAAATTTATAAATATATTGATGCAAATTATTAATAATCCAATTTGTATACCATAGCAAATATACATATCCTGATTAAACACCAACAATCTACCCAGTCTCATTGGTGAAGGTCTTGCTACTAGGGTACATGTCAGCTTAATATTTTTAACTGTAAGGATATCAAATAAAATAGGATAGCCAACTTGGAACTCTTAAAAATCCACAAGTTCTAGTACTTTTAATTGTAGTTATGAAAGTGTTACTGTTTCAGTTTCATTGCTAACACTATACATTTACATCCAATAAGGCAATGACAACATTATGTCACAGCAATAGTACAGTGGAAATGAAATTGACAACTTTATAGCACATCAATATGACATAATGCAGAAAAGACAATATACCGTGTGTAAGTTAAATTTTAATGTGGCAGATCCATTGCTTTTTTACTGTAAAGTAGCTGCATAAAGGCATCAGTGCACAATGGGGAGTAGGGAAAGAATCCTTATTTCTGCAGTAATTTTACATTATAGCCAAGGTTGGTATCTTATGTAACTTAGAAGAAACTTGACTGAAGTAAACAGAATTTATTCTCAGAAAATAAATGTATTATCAAAGCTTGACAAGTCAAAAGTCATTGGACTTTGATGCTGGCTTTGCCTATTTTAATGTAGTTAGTTTGGTTTGGACATAGCATATGTAAACCCAGTGCAATCATACATGCTTTTATTCATATATTCCACTAAGTTTTATGAGGCACACTCTCATATAATTGCACATATTATATACATATGTACACACTTGCTCACCCGGGAATAATCCAAGAAAACAAAATCGGATTTCTAGGACTGCACTATATGCATGAGTTTAACTTTAGAAAGATCTATGGTATAGGAATTAGAGCTGTGCACATTTTGAAATTACCCATTAGAATAAATGGTCTTACAAGGCCAGCACCTCTCTGCTCTTTAAGTGGCCTGACTTCCACTTGAACCTGAGAAAAAGTTATTGCTACTTTTAAATGTATATGCCTTTTAATCAGTGAAAGCCTTGTGCAAGAAGCCTGAAAAAATCAGGCTGCTTAAATGAATAGTAAATAGGTGCTATATTGGAGACCTGAAGCATTTCTTCTCAATACCAAATGTGCATAGCCTTAATACATTTCTATGCATACCTACAACTAAGCAAATGTTTGAGTAAATATGTAATGCATTATACCATAAATTGGAATTGCTCTATACTGTGCCTTCTAAGGTTTACTTAGGGTAATTACTACTGCTGTGCTTTTAAAAATTTAATTAGCTTGATCAACAAATATTGGTAGGTAACTCTTCTCTCCTTCTCTCTCTTTATAAAAACTTCAATGTTGATTTATTTAATTGCTACTATTTCAGAGAAAGTCTAGATTTTGGGGGTTTTCTTTTTTTCTGGCCAATAAGAAACACTGCTGGGGGCTAAACCTTATTGAACTCAATTAAATCCAATTAATTTCAAGATAAAATGTGCAAGATCAGGCTACATGGCTGTCATGCACATTTTGCGTCAAGAAAACCTTAATTCCCGTAAAAGAGACACTGGGTCATGCTGGAAGGTTACAAAGCATTCAGTTAGACTTCTTCAATTTCAACAAAGACGCTGAGCAGCCCAAAGTTCTGGACAATCTACACTGACTTTCCTCCCTGACAGTGTGTGAATAATATATATTCAATTTCTTGAAGGATGGGAGATGTCCCCAGATGAAGAAGATGAAGATCAGTCTTGTTCACATAATGGCTTTACTTTTTTTCCTCCAAATGGCCTGTGCCATAATATGCAATTACTCTTTTCACATAAAACATGGAAGTCAGCAATTAGGAATGAGATCACTTTTTTTTTTAAAAAAAGAATCCTTATGTCACATTTGCAAGATTATAATTTAGTCATTGGTACTGACCAACAAAGAGAAGGAACCTTAATGGGGGGGGGGGGGCAGATTGGTGAAAGACTGGGCTCCATAACTCAGTACACCATTATGTGCATAAACCAAGCGATATTCCCATATTTGTAAAATTACCAGATTCTTTTTACTTCACCAAGCCTTTCATTTATTGTATTCCAGGTTCCCTAAATATAAGATAATTTTATAGTGTTGCAGGTTTCATTAAGATGGCCATCAGGGTAGCACAAAACCTGTCCCTTCCCTTGTGAATGCCTCTGGGAATAAGCCGCCCTAACTGAGCACGAATTACTCTACTTGCTAAGGTGTAAAAACCAAAATGGAACATTCTTTAAAATAAAGTTGATGTCAGAAACAAGGGGCTATGTTAGGGATGAATGAGAATATTAACTTCTATGTATCCCAAAGTGATTTACAACTGATAAAGATTTTTCAATTAGCCAAACCAATTAAATTTACTTGTCATGTAAGATTAGGAGGCCTTGATGAAATAAAATGGGTAACAGTCACAGAAACCATGTTCTGTGTACAAAAAAATGGTTTTCCTAATCCAGGATTTCTCAGCCTTGGCAACTTTAAGAAGTGTGGACTTCAACTCCCAGAATTCCCCAGCCAGCATATGCTGTAATCCCTTATCAACCACCAATAGCTAAAAGTACATAAATAAGACAAACAAACAGTAACATATGATTGCCTTTTAGAAAATAAATGTCACACTGGGAGTTGTATAAGAAAACTGGGGACTCTGTCTTGTAATGAGAAATCCAACATGGCTTCCACAGGAAATTGCTGTCATCAATACCCTCTACCTCAGTGTTTCTCAAACCTGGCAACTTTAAGAAGTGTGGACATCAGCTTCCAGAATTCCCCAGCCAGCTTGCTTCCCCAGCTTGCTGGCTGGGGAATTCTGGGAGTTGAAATAACACATCCTGCCAAGTTTGAGAAACACTGCTCTAACTATTTATGACTGAAAGTTTTCATTGGTTGGTGTTCTGAACCATTTTCCAAAATATTAGTTTTGAATGATAAATTAGGTTTTGTTTTGTTTTTGTTGTTTTGATATTACCAATCTTTTTTCAGCCAGGGCATCTATGTAATCAGCAAGTTCAGTTAGTTTGACTGGCCAGGAAGTTGGCACCCCAGGCTCTTTTCTGAAATAGCCTTTTCTCAGTTCTCTAGGGCAGAGTTCCTCAACCTTAGCAACTTTAAGATGGGTGGATTCCAACTCCCAGAATTCTCCAGCCCACATGGCTGGCCAGGGAATTCTGGGAGTTGAAGTCCACCCATCTTAATGTTGCTAAAGTTGAGGAACCCTGCTCTGGGGAGTTTTGCCTTTTATTTCAGCAAGGCCTACTAGTCTTTGTAACTAATGTACTGAATTCGGCTTGACTTGTTGCACAGTAGGCCTTTTCGTCTCGTTCTGGATGATTTTGGGGTGTTAAGAGGCAAATAAAAGCGTAAGGCCAACAGGGCCGTTTCATTCTGACGCACCTGTTGCTAGTTTCTAGCATGACTTTTATTTCAGTGCCTCTTCCAGCTTTTACACTACCCCTTCCTTCGGCGCAAGTGTGGGTAAGGCTGCTGAGTATCTGATCTTAAAGACTCCTCGGCGCTTTCAAGTGCCGCACGGCCTCAAGGTGTGCCGGCCTCGTCCCTCCGTGCCAGGCGGCTGCGACCCGGGGAAGCGCCCGGCTGGCTTCTAGCCGCACCGGGAACGCGAGAAACCCAGGGCGCCTGCCCGCGCAATGAAGACCGACCGAGAAAGCGGCATCCTTTTCATCCTGCGCGCAGCCCTTCGCGCAACGGCCCCAGAAGCGGCTGTCACTTTCAACGACGAAAAAGCCGCTGCTTTTTTCCCCACTGCGGCGAGCCCTTCCAGTCCTGCGCAGGCCGCACCGATTTGGGCGGGTTGGAGGCTCCCCGGCAGGTAACCGTGCCAAACGTTGCGCCCTGGAGGAGAAACGCTTCGGACGGGAGAGCGACCCAGAGGGCCTTACCTGCAAGGCCAAGGCCAAGGCCGCGGCGGAAACCTGCGCTTCTTTAGCCGAGCCCAGCCTACCAAGGAGGAGGGCGAGGGTCCGGCGCAGCCGCGCGCTCTCGCCCAGCCCGCCCCCCGCCCCCCCCGCCCGGAGACGCGCGGGAGGCCGGGAGAGCCGCTTGCCTTGTGTTTGGGCTGCCATGGTGATAGTGCCTGCGAGTGGCTGGCGAGGGAGAAAGAGAGAGGGAGAGGCGGGGGGGGCGGGGGGCGGG